TGGCAGAAGAAGATTTGAGAAAATTATCAACAGACATAATTGAAGAGGCCTTCGGAGGTACACCACCTGGTGAGGTATGTTGAATATACTCATCCCTCCCTCCACCCATCCCTACCTCCATCCATCCCTCCACCCATCTATCCCTACCTCCCTCCATCCATCCCTCCACCCATCCATCCATCCATTTCTTTCCTCATCTTGCAGGTCAATGTCATCGGCAAGTCAGTCATAAGAGACCAAGTCTTGACTGATCTTCTAAGCGAGCTTCCAGAGCAGCCACCACACATCGAGGAGTTTCTTTTACGACCAGACAAGTTACCACAAGAGATAGAAACATTTCTCGAAAAACACAATCGAGAACTTCCGAAGGAACTCAATGAATATCTAAAAATGAAAATGACAGCAACCAAACCGAATAAGGACAATGAACACTACGAGTTGTAAACAGAGCGCAAAGCTGCTTATATTTGAATCTACTGAAAGAACATCTTTCTTATGAGTTAGAAACGATACGGCAAAGCGTAGTCGTACCGTATCTTACCGTAACCGTGTCCACGCGTCGTGATTGGAATGGATGAATTATAGAAAGATATAATAATAATAATAATAATAATATTAATATTAATAATAATAATAACAGGATTTTTCCTAAACTTAACCTATTTTGGCATCACTGGTATTAACATCATCGACGTGTTTAACGGAGGGAGGAAAACCTACAATCTCGTACCTAGAGCCTTTATTTCTTACTGCGCATGCTCGACGAAAATAGTAACCGTTTCGTCGAAGATGCGCAGTAAGAAATAAGAGGTCTGGATTCACCCGATTACGCTACTGTCATACATGATCTAATCGATCCAATATCCTGTATATGGATGCTAAAACAAATACTCAAAAATAAATCCGAGCCAAATTCATTTGGAGTGTGAAAGCTATAGCAAGTGTTCACAGAGAAAAGAAAAATCAAAGAAAGCACCGAGGTATCAATAAAGCATATCAGATACCAGAACTAAATCAATAAACTGATCGAAAACTTATTATTCTAACTTCAGAACCCCGTCATTGTTGTATTTGAGTTAGTTAGTTGAAAACAGGGACGGAAGCAGATGCTCTGAATGTTTCAATCCCAATTAAATTTGTCGATATTTTTGTGTGAAAATAAACTTCATTTGCACTAATAAAAAAAGAAATGGCTACAATTGCTTGTGTGTCCATATAATAAAATCGAAACTTTTGATATWTCTTGCAATTATTTTGGCTAATTCCTTTATGACACGTATTTTGATTGACGGAATATTTCGTTTAGAAAACTGATATTTTGATTKGTAGTGCTTCGGAGAGGAAGGATCAGTAGCTCTCTACTGTTGGGTAATATTTCAGGAGCCGACTTCAAACTTTCTAATCGAAGTTTATCGCGACGACAAAGATATAAAGGTATGAGATAGGATAATATAACGTTAGCTTCTAGATGTCATAAACTTTAAATGCAAATATGGAATTTTATTTTAGAATGTAAAGCCATTTTTAAAGATTTTTTTTTTTAGCTACGAAAAGAACTTGTGAGATTCGCGCCTCGACTTGTGTTTTCGCATCTTTATCAATTCGAAATATGATATTAGGGAGCCCAAAAGTACTAAGAAATAATTAATAAGAAAAAATTGTCTGGAGATGAAGTAAACATGGAACAAAAAATATCTAAAATAGGAAAAGCAACAGTCAAAATTTTCATGTCAAAAAAACGATAATTGAAACCATTTTTAATGATTTTTTTTCGATCAAAAAGTAGCTCATTTAATTTTCTCTCAAAGTTCAATAAGTTTTCCACAAAATCTGGCCTTTTTCATTTATTTTCGATTGAAAGAAGTTTTAATGGCTAAATTAGCCAAGGTATTGATTTTTAAAGTCAAACATAGCAAAATATAACGAGGAAAAATAATATATAGATATCGAAGGTTGGATAAACACTCGAAAATATTACAAATGTTTATTGTAATAAAAAAATAAACTTGAATTTTTTAACTTGTCGATTTTGCAATTACTTATCCGGCTATATCGGGATTTGATTTTTTTGGTTTTAAAGGAAAAGTAAGTAACATTAATTTTACTGGATTCTTGCTATGAGTGACAGGCTGAGTTGAAAGGTTCATAGGGAAATGTCAGATATTGTTTGCTTTCTTTACAAGTTGTTCGTGGCATCAGTTTCACCAGACTCCTCCGATACTGACAGAAGTATCCTTGGTTTGATTTCTATATATAACTAAGTTATTGATATGTTTTGGAGGAGATGAATGAATGAATGAATGGAATATGATCTGCGTCTAACAGATGGTATTATATCAAGACCGTTTTTGAGTGACGTCTTGCCCCCGCATAGGAACTTTTTGCGTTTGAAGAAAGAGAGGAAATTGCATGCAATTCCTTTGAAATAAAGAAAAGAAAAAAGAAAAGGATGGATAGATGGAGGGAGGGAGGGAGGGAGGGATGGATGGATGGATGGATGGGTGGATGAATGGATA